TTGTGCTCCTTTCAGCTTCTTTCTGCAAATTTAAACTTTTTTCAGCTACTTTCAGCTGCTTTTTCGCCGTTTTGTGCTCCTTTCAGATTATTTCTGCTAACTACAACATTTTTGTGCTTCTTCTAACTTATTTCTGCTAATTTCAGCTTGTTGTGCTCCTTTCAGATTATCTCTGCTAACGATAACGTTTTGTGCTTCTTCTAATTTCTTTCTGCTAATTTCAGCTTGTTGTGCTCCTTTCAGCTTATTTCTACAAGGCTCAGCTTTTTCTGCTATGTCAGCTATTATGTTTTTTTTACACTTGTTTTAACTTTTTCAGCTAATTTCAAACTTTTTGCACTTGTTTTAACTTATTTTTTAAAGCCTAATTCAACAAAATTGTGCTCTCTCAACTTCATCCTGGTAATTTAAGCTTATTTCAGCCTTTGTAGCTACTTTTCAGCTGGTTTTTTTTTTTTCTTTCTAATTTCGTCTTTTTTCAGATATTTTCCACTTTTTCTGCTCATTTATGCTTCTTTCAGCCTAATTGGGCAATTATGATCTTCATACTTTCTTCTCCTAATTTAAGCTTGTTCTACCTTTTCAACTAGCTTGTTAGCATTTTAAGCTAATTTCAGCTGTTTTCAGATAAATTCAAGATTCTCATGGCAATTTCTGATACTTGCAGCCTAACTTCTTTCTGCTATTTTCAGCTTGCTATGATCCTTTCAGCATAGTTATGCTAGTTTCACTTATTTCAGATACTATTTAGCTGTTTTATGCTAATTTCAGCTAATTTCAGATTTGCACTCATTTAAGCTTTTTTCAGTGTAATTCAGCAAAAATGTGCTCTCTCTCCATTTACTTCTGCTAATTTAAGCTGCTTTCTGCTATTTTAGCTACTTTATTAGATTTTTTTTGCAAATTTTTGCTTTTTTTCAAATACAGTAATTTCAACTTTTTTGTGCTCATTTCAGCTTCTTTCAGCCTAGTTGGGCACAATTGCGCTCTCTCTACTTCCTTTTGGTAATTTAAGCTCTTTTTTAATTTTTTTTCAGCAAATTTTTTGTTGTAAATTTCAGCTTTTAGAGTTTACAACTTTTTGTGCTCATTTCTGCCTATTTAAACCAAATTCAGCAAATATGTGTTCTTCTGCTACCTAGGTTGAATGAACTTGTTCTTCCGTTTCAGCTACATTTCAGCATGTTTTTAACTAATTTCAGCTGTTTTTCAGCAAGTTCGTTAGCAATAATCTTCTCATCCCCCTTAACAACTCTCTGCTATCCCCCTCGCCTCAGGTCAAGAGTCTTGGTGTCATCCTCGACACCACTCTCTCCTTCACTTCACACATCAACAACGTCACTCGGTCTGCCTATTTCCATCTCTGAAATATTAACCGTCTCCACCCTTCTCTCACACCCCGCTCCACAGAACATCCTTGTTCACAGTCTTGTGACTTCTCGGATTGACTACTGCAACTCCCTTCTTCATGGCCTCCCCAACAAATCTCTCCAGAAGCTGCAATTGGTCCAGAACTCAGCTGCCCGTGTCATAACTCAAACCTCCTCCTATAACCACATCACTCCAGTCCTGCAGCAGCTCCACTGGTTCCCGGTTAAATCACGCATCGTCTTCAAAATTCTTCTTCTCACTTTCAAAGCTATCCACAACCTTGCCCCTCCGTACCTATCTGACCTCCTACACATCTCCATCCCCTCTCGCTCTCTCAGATCCTCCTCTTCACTACACCTCCATGTACCCTCTGCCCGCCTCTCCACCATGGGGAGAAGGGCCTTCACCTGCTCTGCCCCTCATCTCTGCAACTCTCTACCCCCTGACTTAAGAAACACCACCTCTCTTTCTATATTCAAGACTGCTCTGAAAACACCTCTCTTTAGACTCGCTTATCCTTAACTCTGCTGTATGTACTTTATAGTCAGAGTCAGAGTTTCTTTATGGTCATTCGCACCTCATGTGGTACATGTGGTGGAGCGAAATTATGTACACAAGGTCCCAGTTACATCCAACAATAAAATGTAGAAGAAAAACAGTAATAACATCTAAGATATGAACTAAGAAAAACATCAACTAAATATACACTAAGCACTCATAACATAAAACATTGAACATCAGCACAAACATGAACATGAGTCTGTGAGCAGATGTGCACGCATGAACACATCAACACTGAAACAGATCAGCAGCAACATGAAACAGATCAGCAGCAACATGATATGGTTTTTCACAGTGATTATTCTAGTTAGAGATTCATGAGTCTAACAGCCTCAGGGTAGAAGCTGTTCCTCAGTCTAGTGGTTCTACATTTAATGCTCCTTAACCTCCTTCCTGAGGGGAGTGGGGCAAAAAGTGTGTGTGCTGGGTGAGTGGGGTCCTTCATGATGCAGGTGGCCCTCTTCCTGCATCTGGAGGTGTAGATGTCTGTGATGGTGGGGAGGCTGATTCCAACAGATTTCTGTGCAGCCTTCACCACCATATTCTTTACGCATTTTATATTCTGTATGTATTTTATATTCTTTATGTATTTTATATTCTTTATTCCTGTTGATCTTTGTTCTTACTGTAAAGTGTCCTTGTGTGTCATGAAAGGCGCTTTTTAAATAAAATGCTGGTTATTATTATTATTATTATTATAAGCATCCACACTGCATCTTCGCAGGAAATGCATTTTCTGTATTGATTTTTTTTTTTTTTTTACATGGACCAAAGTTTAGCGTTGTTCTCGGGGTTGGCCAGCAGGCGGCGGTGGA